ACTTCACGGAATTGGATGACTTCAAAGAATTTTGTACTGAGGGCCAAATAGAACTTTGCACTTTAATAAATAAAATTGATAGAATTAAAATTTTCTGTGTTAACAGGTCCTGGAAGGAGAATTGTGAACTCTTCCTAGATGTCTTCGAGAGGCTGTGCAGGGAGGTCAGGGTGCGCTTCCCAAATTATAAAATCTTGTGGGCAGGAGACTTTAACATCAACTTATCACCGACGGTAAGTAACAAAAATGACAAAAATAAACTGTTGGATTTTATACACTCGTACTGACATTAAAAGACCACCAAAGAACAAAAACAGTGAAAAGATATCTAGCATTGATAATTTTTTTTCCAAACTTCAGTAATTATGAAAACCGTGGGGTCATCCAGACTGTGGTGAGGGACCATTATTCCCAATCAATAAGGTTACCACTAAATAATTCTGAAACAAACAAAAAATAAAGAAAAAAATCTATCCTAAGATATCTTGCAAATCTAATTTCTCCAGTAAAATAAATAAAGCAAGGAAAGAAACCAACACACAATTGGATCACAGATGATTTAAAAATATCTAGTAAAAATAAAAGAAGACTATTTCAAAATGTTAGAATTGGGGTAATAACTGCGGAGCATTATAAAAAATACTCAGACAGGTTATAAAACAGGCAAAAAAGCTCAGCAACAAAAACTTTATACAAAACGCTGAAAATAAACAGCAGGCAACCTGGCACTTAATTAAGAAATACCGGCCACAAAAACAATAGAAAAATACTCAATCTGAACCACTTTAAATATGAAAACGAGACTGATTTCCTGAATGATGTGAATGACTTTTTTGTAAATATATGCCCTGATGTGATGCCGGAGAGCAGTAGCCAGGCAGATAAATCTGACATTGTGTGTAAAAAAAAATTTTGAACTCCGACCTGTGAAAACTCTAGAAACCTTGAAAATCATAAAAGATCTAAAAAAAACCAACCGGATACGACGAGATCGCTGTTAGCATTATAAAAGCTTGCGCAAATTCACTTGCCGAGCCATTAACATACCTGATAAATCTATCAATGCAAAATGGCATCTTCCCAGCCAATCTTAAAATTGCACTGCTAAAACCAATCCATAAAAAGGTACTCTAACTGATCTGAAAAACTACAGACCAATTTCCTTGTTATCTTACAGTATATATAGTAAAATTTCAAGATCAATTTACATAAGGTTATTAAAGTTCTTAGAACAAAATGTCTTATGGTTTTTGGAGGAAAAGATAGTTCATAAGAGCTATCTACACAGCACTTTATCGAATCTTGGAATCACTGTTCTGGCTGTTTGTCTAGGCCTCTCGAAGGCATTCGAAAGTGTAGACCACGGCCCGCTCTAGCGAAAGCTTGAGAGGATCGGAGTACGAGACACACCACTGAGACTATTCGAGTCATATTTGGATCACAGAAAACAGGGTGTAGGCAGTAGGCAGAAAATGACCTACGGGAGGTAAAAAAATCAAATTTTGTCTACATAAAAAGGGGTGTAGGTACCTCAAGGGCCCACTGCTTTACTTAATATATACATATGATGTTGCAAATGTACTAGAAAACGAGGTGGTACTCTTTGCCGACGACACTTGTAATAAAACTAAAAACGAATGTGTCACAAATGTCCGGGAATCACTTGGAGGTCTTCAAAATTGGTTTAAAAACAACAATCTCCAACTTAATGTGACAAAAACACAAATTATAGATCTGTACCTACCGAACAACTTCGACCAAAATCTCAAATGTAAGTACCCAATACTATAAGCATAACTGGCGTTGTTAGGACTCTATAAAGTAACATTGTCTTACCTTTTTGTACTGTCCTAAAGATGCAATAATATAATTGCGAAACATTGACAATCTGAAATAACATAATTCTGTTGTTTTATTTCGATCCAATCCCAAACAAAACCTCAACCAATTATAAATTATAAACTTTAATTTAAATCCTGAAAAAATAGTGATTGACTACAATGACACTACAATTGCCACAAAGGGAAATGTTATCTGGATGAAAGGCTGGACTCGCGTGCACATATCCAACAGCTTGCAACAAGCATGAGTAAATACTGTTACGCCCCAAGAGTTCTCAGAGACAGCAGGCTGCTCGGAAGCGCTAACAGCTTGCCAAGCTTACATCCAATCAAGGGTGAGATACGGTGTCATTTTTGGGGTAGTGTCTCGGAGTCGCAAGGAATTCAATTCTCAGGCTTCAGAAAAGGTGCTCAAGGACAATTTATCAAAAAAACGGTAGGAACATAAAGTTGTAAAAATCTTTTTATTGAGAGTAGTGCGCAAACAATTTCTAATATCTATATCTTAGAGTGCCTAATATTTGTATCAGAAAACCCAGATATTTTTGACCAATTAAAAGCAGATCACTGCCGCGATACTAGGTTTAAAAAAAACTCAAAAACAGCAACCGCTTATTACTCATACATCGCAAAGAACGTTAAGCATAGCATTCTGAGGGTCTGGAACGCTGTTCGCATTTCATTTCGAAGGCAATCGCCACAGGTTATCAAAAGAAAAATTAAAACATTCTTGAACACAAACGCTTACTACAGTCTGGATGAGTTTTTCACTGATTCACAAATGAACAACTTGGTGAAATGAAATTTCACAATATTTGACACACAAGCAATCCTTATTAAACTAACATAGACAACAAGCATAGATGGGAGAGCACACTGGTCTTTTCTGTGCAAGCTCTGGGGGGCTCAGGACATCCGGAAACGGCAAGAGCAATATTTAATTCATGTGTTCATTTTGAATATTAAAGTTAAATCGTATTATGTAGTTTTGAAGATTTTTGTAACTGTCTATATTTTATATTTTGTATTTATATGTTTTGATATTATTATTGTTATAATAGGAATCATCACGATCAACACCCTAGGGGTAAAAATGTGGAAAAACTGGAGTAATATGCAGTGTACTGTGAATTGTATTTTTTTTTATGATGATGATCAAACAAAGAATCTAATCTAATCTAATCTGAGCCGTCGGTGTACATAACCCGTCCATCAAGAAACAGAGGGAGCGATTTCTTATATCGCATGTTAGAGTCGCACTCGATCCCATACGCTCTTTCAAAGTTGTAGGCCGGCGTCATGTGATCCGATCTTATTTTATATAGTTCGTTGTCGAACCAATATATAAAGGAGAGAAACTGCCAAAAGCTCAACATTGTAGTGATTACAATACCGATGTAATGATCACTAAACCGACTGTTATAAAACAATATCGTACAAATTCTTCTAATAATACTTTTCATTACAAAACGATACTCAGTGATTTGAAGAGAGATTCTTACAAAATGTGTGTCTATCACCAAAGCTGTCTCATCACTGAAAGTTGTCTCTTGACTGCTTTCTCTTCTCAAAATTCTACTTCTACATCCTTTCTAAAAACGTTCCTTACACCTACTCAATGCTATCTGGAAAAACCCAATTCATAAAAGAATGACCATTAAGGAGAGTTGGAAAATTTGGAGTTTATGGTGAACAATGTTTACTTTATTAACAAGCACAAGAAAGATCTTGGCTTCTCAAATAGTCGGTAAGATTCACAACATAATAAATACAATTCAAAGCTTTGGGATTTTAGCAGGAGACAATATAATAAAATTACGTTCATTTGATGCCAAGCCGAACCATTATTTGGGGTTACAGGGTACCAGACTTAAATGTTTTCTAGAATTATAATATGTAAATCGAATCAATTACATGTTACATCGTGCGTGATTGGTAAAGGCAAAACACTACAGCATGTAGGTATGGGATAAGCAACATAGGATGCAATGGCCCCACGCAAACTAATCGTTGAATAAAAACATTGGAGAGAATGGTTCAAATGGGCAGCATATATGAAAGGATGGAACATTATCTTCAGTAAACCATCCGTTGAACTCCCAAGAATTTTGGAAACCAATCCTGAACAATATCACGTCCCACAAACGTCCCACCATTGATTGTATTATTTTTATACTCACTAACGCCCAACTCTCTAAAGTTACTAGCTAAACTAAAATGGCTTCTAGGAAATTTCTTCGCTTAAATATGTTATTTCCAAAACTTGAGGAACTATGAGCTCTACAATAGAAAACATGATTTATTTTGGATAGCTAGTTATCTGCCTAATAATAATATTATATAGTACCTATAGTGTCCTCCGTTATAGTCCGTTCATAAAGTCTATAGACTTTTTCGAGTGCGTGATCTGATTTTGGACGCTGATTGGCTAGATTTTGGGACCTCACTATGGGGCCTTAGGTTAATCGTTTAAATTGAGCGCTGGTCTTCCAAGTCGACCTCCTAATTTTGGCTAATCAGCGTCGAAAATCTCAGATCACGCACTCGAAAAAGTCTATAGACTTTATGAACGGACTTTAGCGTATCCTAATACTACCTCAGTAAAAATCGAGAAAACCTAAAGATCTTTCTCAACAGTTTGAGATAATTTTTCATTTTTCGCAGGAAACTGTGAGTGTCTGTTGGAGACATTTCACATATTTTAAGATCATGCCACATATTTTATAAAGAATAACTTCTCTTCCTAATCCTATTACATTTTTTTATCTCCCGATATCGCTACTTTTCGTAGACACACTAAACTGAGGTTTTGTCGACTTTTTAATGTAGAGAAATAAAATAATTATTCTCACACTAACAAGCAACATTGAGTTGCTTCTGTGTTAAATTGTTTATTTGTCAATAGCTAAGTATTGAGCTGTTATAACTTTGGATAAATAAACTTAGTTATTTTTATTATTATTATTATTATTATTATTATTTTACCGAACGTAATACAAAAATGGTCAGGACACCTAAACAGTCTGAAAAACAGACGCCGCATCCAAGAAAAATATATCTATCCTTCAAGTAAAATGGACTTATTTCCTTCGAATACCTTGAAGAGTTTTGCATTTTAAATTGCGTCAACAAAATTTTCCGTAGTGTACGTTAACTTACCTATGATCGTTGTAATAATAATCCCGCCCAAAATAAGACACATCGCAATGCTTTCAACCAAATTATAACCAGATGCATTAGTAACTATAGTAGCATTGTAAGAAGAATCATTTGTAAGCACTATGCGCGAAACGTTGGTCTCCATACGAGTGTGCAATGCGCCGGGTGCTGCTCTCAGGTGTTGCTCAAATTCCTGCTCATCATTTCGCACTCTTCACGCATCTGCTGATGCTAGTAGATTTATTTTGGTAGTTTTCGAGTCGGCAGTCCATTGGCTGACAAGGGCAGAATCGTTCACAGTTGATGCAGTTATTCCATGGCGTGTCTGGAACAAATAGGTTGAAATAAGACATCTATAACTTGATTTCGCAATACTTAGTTCGATATACCCTATCCAAAATCGTTTCATCGCCCGTAGACTGAAACGTGGACGGCTATTGAGTAAAATCATAATTTTTTTACACTGATGCGGTTTGATGTTTATGTAGGGAAAAATTTATAATTTAAATTCAGATCAGGTTTTTGTCAGTGACTGCATGCTGCATGAACTTGAGTTTTGTTTGGAATAGCTGACGCTGAGCCTTTACAAAAATACGCTCTATAAAGTACAAGTGACAGCTGCTGCGCTTTTCGGTATAAATTACACAACAACACAAAAATTATTATTCGTCCAGCTTCAAAGAAACTATAGCTGAGCTGACCTATAAAACAATTTTTGAAGGTGAATATTTTAAGGCAGATAACTGTTTAATTTGATATTCTGTAACATTAATATAATTATGAATTTCAAACCAATGCTTGTATAAAATAATTTGCATAACCACTTAACTCATATTTCTTTTTGTGTTATTTTTTGATTTCACATAAAATTCAGTCGGTAGGTAGGTACCTGAGCTTAGTTTGCTTTTCAAACGATCTATAATTTGAAATAACTTTGCGACGAACTTTCATGTAGTGTAAGTATACTGAAGCTTTTAAAAGCCTTTTGTTTTCATTATTCATTTTTTTTTGGTAGGTACTTAACACATCCTAGCTTTATACGTCTGATGACAAATTTAAATTTTGAAATTGGGTTATGTGCCATCACGTATAGTAAATACGTATCAAAGACAGCGATTAGGGCTGGTGAAGCAGCAAGAATTGGTGAATCCCAAAAAATGCTCAAATATAAAGAACTGCAGGACCGAGGTTTTCTTTTTGTTCCGTTTGCTGTGGAAACTTTCGGACCTTGGGGTAATGAAGCTAAAAGATTAATTAAACAAATTTGTCAGAAAATCAATCATAAAAAGGCATTTAGCTTCATTACCCAAAAAATTAGTCTAGCAGTACAAAGGGGAAATGCAGCGTCAGTGCTTGGGACCCTTCCAGTAGGATCTGGTTTGGAGGAAATTTTTTATATTTGATGTTTTGTTTTTATATTTTATATTTTATATTTTGTTATTTTATATTTAGTATTTTTCTTTTTTTATAGTTGTATTGCATCTTGTATAACAATTAAAATTGTTCAGTAAATACGTATATTTCACTTACCTTTTGCATATTTAAAATGTTTTATTGACATTTTCAATTATTAGATATCTATTCGAATTGGAAAGCTTGTATAATTGGCAGGTGTATAGTACACTAAAATCTAATCAGAATATTTCCCTGATTCGAATCAACACCCTGTTAAGAAAATACACTTTTTCTACTGTTCCCTTATCTTTCATCCAATTTCAATGTAGTCTTATTTATTATCACAGCTTTATTACAAAACTTAAACTTTCTATTACTTACAAAGTTTAGAATATTTACCTACATCTACTTTTTCACTTTCGATGCCATTCGGTGCACTGAATTCATATTATAAGAATGTCCAAAATATCTTTGCGAAACACGATTGTTTTTTTTTTCTAGAAATACAGATACGGGCACCTTTGTAGATAAACTAGTTCAATAACGTTATGGTGAAGTGCTACTTACTAAAGGTAAATTTCATTCAATTGCTGATACGCTAGAAAAAATAATAATTATTATTATATCAGTGATTATTTCCAATTTCGTTTATCTAAATATTTATCTCCGTGATTAATTTAATTAAACGATGTTGTAATAAAATAAAAAAAGGGATGTTTCAGTTATATAAATCTTCTTATTACAAAAAAATATTGGGAAAACTTTGCCTGCAAACAGGGCCGGATAAGGGGGAGGCTTTGGGGGCTAAAGCCCCGGGCCCCAAAATGAGGGGGGCCTCAAAACACTACCTCACACGGGGAAGAAATCATGCATATAATTTTACAATTTTGATTTCGCCATCTCTTATTATCTATCAATTATATCAAATACAACACTAGCCTATATAAGCTTTGTTTTGGTTTGAGACTTGGAACGATTATGGGATTGCGCAGAATTGCTTGCGTACAAAAAATAATAGAGAAGTGTTCTAATACTAATTCTGAACCGATTCGGAACGAAAAAAACCAAACCAAGCCGAAAATTACAAAGGACCCCGCAGAAACCTTATGAGAACTGGCCCTCAGTGGAATCTCATGAAATTTTGCGTATTGATAGTTCTTCACCTATAGATTAAAAGTGTCCATGGGCACAAAGTTCTAAAAATTCGCCTTTTTGAGTTACAGTCGTTTGAAGTTGCGTTATATAAATATGTGAAATTGCTCAAACCTTATACAGTCTAGTTTTTCCTGTTGCTTGGTGAATTTTAGAACATCATAGTATCATTGTAGTATAATACGATTTAAATTATACGATTCCAGAAATGGCCACTTTTAAACCATAGGCGTCTTAAGGGGGGTTAAAAATAATTATAAAATAATAGTTATTTATACACCAAGTGAGCTAAATGAATGTTTACCCCTGAGAAGAAAGTTTAATTTACGAGCCCTAGCCAGTGGATTGATTTTTTTCGAATGGTGCATACAATGCTTTATTTTCTACTGAATATAATGTTCCTTCATCAATTTAGTATCAAACATATACCTTTACTACCTCTACTCACCTCATTATTTACCCATAATTATTTTTAAACCCGTCTTAGGACTTCTATGGTTAAAAAGTCGCCATTTCTGGAATCGAATAATTTGAAACGTATTATACTATGCATATGTCGTTCTTAAATTCACGAGGTAACCGAAAAAACTAGACGGTATAAGTTTTGAGCAATTTCACATATTTATATAACGCAACTTCAAACGACTGTAACTCAAAAAAGCGAATTTTTAGAACTTTGTGCCTATGGACACTTTTAATCTATAGGTCAAGAGCTATCAATATGCAAAATTTCATGAGATTCCACTGAGGGCCAGTTCTCATAAGGTTTCTACGGGCTCCCTTCCAAAACAGTTCCTCCTAGAGCAAGAATTGAGAGAACCGTTCTAGAACAATCCCAGAACTGTTCTTATATGTTTCAAATAAACCAAAACCAACACAGTTCGATTACGATTCTGAAAAAACGGAAACACGTTTCAGAATATACGCATGTGCAGAATGATTTCGAACTAGTTCTGAGTGAAACCACAACAAAGCTAATATTATTATTGAGTAGCTGGTATAATTATTGATAGATGGCGCACTATCTGCATAAAAGCTACAGTGACTTTATACAAGACAGTGGCGACAGGAACCTTGATTCTGCAAGGTAAAGATTTGAGTGACGTTTGAATTTATTTCAGGAACCTAGGAGCCCCTTTTGTGAAAATAGCCCCGGGCCCCAAAAGACCTTAATCCGACCCTGCGTGCAAAATATTTACGTGTTAATATCAATAAACATATACACGGTTACAATTTGAAAACTTCCCTCCCCTCTTAACTCAGGAACAGAATGTTTTGGAAAAAATCTCCGAAATGGGTCAACTATATTTAGGAAATTAACCTCTAACTCAGAGGGGGTCAAATGGTAAATCATTTAAGAGGCCTTTCGGCGTCTGCCCCGTTGATATCACAGCTTGTCAAAATCTTGAAAAAAGTGTTTGTTTTTAGTTAATAAATAATCATTCATAATTCTATTCGCTATAATGAGGGTCAGAGGACCTTTAAAATAAGCTAGGACTTACCCCTTCAGGCAGGGATGAGTTGTACCTACCTCAAAAATTCCTAACTTTGATATTCTAATAGTATAAAAATTTCAATTTAAAAATCATCTGAACTCCATCATATCACCCAGGTTGGTTTGAACTTTTGTGATTGTTAATTTATCAACAAAAAACATTTTCCTCAAGATTTTGACAACAGAAACTTCATACTTGTCAGTTCAAGTAAAGGCCAAAAGACCTATAAATCATATCACTTGACTCCACTTCCTTTTTAATATTTTTAAGTGGGTGGCGCTGGGGATCAAAAAGGAGCGGTGGATTTTGCATAAAAACTCATCCCCCTTCAAATTATACATAGTTGACGTGTTAGGACAATAGGTGTATGAAGTTTTCAAAATTAATCTTTATTTCTTAGAACTCGGCCAGTTTGTTATTCTCTAAACGTTCCATGATTACGCTACCTATCATACCCGCCGCCAAAAGAAAATAGTAATTGTTAACTTTATTTGACTTCAATAAACATTAATTCCTCCTTTAGAAACCACAATTTTGTTCGATATTTAAACCCAGAGGCATTGGAAACCTGCGTATTCAATGGTGAAAGAAATAATATATTCAACTGGGCTACAACAGTGGGACAAATTCTCTTCGAAACGACACGAATTTCAGGCAGATCCAGAACCGCAGAACTTTATAACAGCGGCATCTTCAGTAAGATTAGATACATCTCAATGACCCAATGAAAATAACTAAAAAATCTTTCGGCTCAGACAACGTCCTAATAGAACCTAATTACCTAATTGAAAACGACAGAAAAAAATGCATGAAATCCTAATTATTCTGCTTTTCTGTTAGAAATATATGAATGATGTAGAGAATGCTGAAGAATGGAAAACTTCCTACTCCTCATCCATTCATAAAAAGGTGAAAAAATCGACTGTAGTGGCAGCGCAATCACCAGCACACTGAGCATTACATTTGGAAAATTTGTAAAGAAAAAGATTGAGCAAGAGTCAAACTCGATCGTCACTCACGGGTGCCAGAAGAGATTGCAACCTTATAACCAACGATGCTTAAGAGTTACACAACCAACAAGTGCGGATTCGAATTAATTTTGGACTGCTCGAGCGGATCAAGATCCTTTTGGTCCTTTGCCAAGACCAAAGGGAAAAAATTACGTCTTATTTAGACCTAAAACCTATTAGGAAAATTCTTTTGCTACTTTGAAACTGGAAAATCTTGTGGCTCCGACGGCATTCCACCAATTGTCCTATAAAATTGCGCACAATAATAATTGGCCTCAGTTCTTTGCAAACTGTTTTCACTCGCGTACAATCGAGGCGTTTGCCCGTCTATCTGGAAATGTACCAGAGTGCAGCCCATCCTGAAAATGGGTAAGAAAACTCTTCCTAGCAATTATCGTTCCATCTCACTTATATACGTACTTTCGAAAGTAATGGAAAAGGCAGTGAACCTGAAACTGGTTGAATACCTCGAAGCCATTGAGCTCATCTGTGACAAACAGTACGGCTTTCGTTCTGAAAGATCATGTGCTGGCGTACGTCAGTCATATTTGAAACTCGACTCTCGAAAATATGACGAATCCAGAATTGTAGCATTGGATGTCTCCAAGGCTTTTTATCAGATGTGGCACAAAGGTCTCCTCAGCAAACTTCCATCGTATGGTCTTCCGAACGAATTTAGCCATTGGCTGTGCAGCTTTTTGGAAGACAGGTCACTGCATGTTGTGTTCGATGATGTGTCTTCAATTCTGTCCCTAACACTATTTCTCATTTTTATGAAATTATTATCTATGTTATCAGTGTTACTTATTAGATTAGATATTAGCAGTTGGTCAGGATGATCGAGCTGGAGGATTGACGAATGCCCGCAGCACCAGGCGCGGCACCAGTCTGCTAATGACTGACACGTATTGTCACATTATTTTTAATCAATGTCAATATACGAATTTGAATAGAAGCATTGATTTTTATTGGGGATGAAATCCCTTTTGTTATCATCAGAAGTGGAATTGTTCTCCGTGCAGTGTAAATAATATTAAATAAAGACAGTACAGTGGTGTTAGTGGAGAATGGAGGAACAAAATCAAATCAGTTCGGTCATGACAGTGAGACACCTGAGTATAGTGTAGAAGATTTGACACCGCCCAGTCCAAAGTATCCGAAATTACAATGGCAAGAGACATTAGTAAAATTAGCTGCAACCCAACAGCAACAGCTTTATGAATTAATTCGTCAATCCAAGATAGCAAGCCACACCCAGTTGTTCCAGTGCCGATGGATTTAATACTCAATCGCTACAGTTTGGATCTACGTCGTTTAAATTAACTATCGTCGATCCCGACAAGAGTGCGTATTCCATCGAAGAATGACTGAATGATGCAACAAACCTCAAGGACGAGATGACTGTAAGCGATAACCTAATGATGGCAAAGTCAAGTTATCGTTGAGTTTCCCGATCAAGAAACGCCGGGCGCTCGTGGTTTCAAGGTTGCTACAATGAGAAGTCATGAATTTAATTCATTATGTGAATATGGCACTCAAAAACTACGTAGCATCAGCAGGTTCCATAATACATTGCCGTGGAATAAAGTTTTAAGTATGGTCCAGTTCAAATTAGATCATGCGGAAGCACGTGCCACCATACAGATTCAAAAAACGGAATCAGAACGCGAGCTACTGAAATTATTGAACGAATTCGATGAGCGTCGGGGTACATTGGAGGGGGCCAGAAAATTGGTTAGTGTTAGAAATTGAAAAATCGAAATATCGATTGAAAGAACACCGCAGCATCAGATATGACCGACCAGCAAGTAAAATTTTCAAGTTTACCTGATTTAGATGTGGCAGTCATGGTCACCAACAAGGTGTATGTACTAACACACGGAAAAATGATTCTTCACACCAGGAAAATAATGATAAACTTGAGAAAGCTGCTTC